TTTTTATTCCTGTTAATTTCATCACGTAACTCTTTCTTTTTTTTTTTCCATTTTGCGACAAAGTAGAAGACTTGGAAACGGTAGCCTCTTGTGGTCGAGACAAAATCCTTTCTTCTACCTGAGGAATAACAGTACCTTTTTGAACAACTGGCATAAGCTCAGGGCCACTTAGATTTTGATTTGGCATAGAGGGTTCCACCAAATTTGTAACTGTATTTGAGCTAGGGAGAATAGCTGCTGAAAGATGACGTTTATCACGAGGAAAATTCGAAATCTTATTATTTAAACCCTTTTTCAAATCAGCACTAGCGGTTACCTTAGAGGGGCCATGCTTATCATTAATGATTTGAATATTCTCATAATTAACATCATGATTATCATTAACTTCGTCAGAAATAACTGAAAATCTTGATCCAGCCGTTGAAGACGCCACCTTTGAAGCTCCAGAACCGTTATTTTTTGCATTAATCATTGTAGCCGATTTAATTCCCACATGATTATCGGGTTTCTGCTGCTTGATTTTAGCTGGACGTGAAACAGAATGATTTATTCCTTGAGCATTAATTCTCCTTTGGCCAGTTGTAACAGATGACCCCTGATTCCTGGCTGCATTGATTGCGGTAGCATTGATTGCGGCAGCATTGATTGCGGCAATCTCCATGGTAGCTTTTGCCTTCCTTCCCTGTTGACTCCTTTGGACAATCATCCAAGAACCAAAAGCTTCACCTTCTGCCATCTCACGCCTGACACCATTGTTAACAACCTCTGCACGAACATCCTTTTGGTGAGAATGACTATCGGTTGACACCGAAACCGAAGAACAAGTGTCACGCCTATGCCCATACTTACCACATGCAAAGCAGATCATGTGAAGGCCTTCATACCCTACCGTATAAACCTTATTAATGAGATTGAATTTAGACAAGAAGCCTTTACTGAGATCTACTTCTACGCAAATACGCGCAAACTTGGCCCTTTCCGTAACAACCCCATCACCAGCATCACTTTTACGTATAGAGTTCCTATCAATCTTCAGTGTTTTCCCAAATAGATCACCTATGTTCCGCAAATGTTGGGAGGTATAGAACTCCATAGGTAACCCCGGAATACGGATCCAAACAGCTAATTTTTTAAGGTTGTCCTCGTAAGGATCAAATAATGGCCGCCACCGTTGAACAGAAACATAATGGTCTGCCACAATCCAAGGCCCTTCCTCCAAAACAAAGTTGTAGTCATTCAAATCCGCAAAACGAAACAAAAAGTAATCGTTCTCCATATCAATGAACTCATGTGTCCCTGACAGATTCCACATCTTCAAGAGTCTGTTCAGCAGAAACTTTACACCAACCTTTTTTCCCAAGAGCTTGATAATCACAGCTTGCTTCCAAGGCCTGCAACTCTCCTTATATAGCTCTTTTGAAAATCTGTATGTAGGACAGAAAGGATCATCTTGGTCATTTGATTGAACATCCTCCTCCATACCATGAACATCCAACTCCTCAAACCAATCCCTTTCCTCGACGTCATCCGTAACTTTCAGCCCATTCAACTGTAAGAGTGTATCCTTATAAGATATCGGTTTCTTCCCTAACACTTCTTTAGCTTTGTCAGTACTACGCTTCAAGAGATCAACCTCCTCAGCGGATGGTTCACCAATCGCCGAGATCTCCATTAAACTTCTTCTACCAAGCTTTTGCTTTTAGACATTGAAAATTTTAACCAGGCAAATGCGTATTTTGTCAATTGAAAAAATTAACTTTAACTTTGGAGCTTTTTTTGAGGATTAAATTGGCCACGAAGTCAATTACATGTTTAATTACTTAATTATAGGTCATTAATTAAATTCTTAAGTTAGGAGTATTATATATTCCCTAATGATTCGTACGTAATTTCTTATTTGCTAGCAATTATGCTTTACGAATGATATATATGGAGAACACAGAGGCTGAACAGAGAGGTTTGGAGCTTATTAGTTTTAAAAATTGTGCAATTAAATTGCGGAATGCAATATTTTGAATGAAACCAGGGGAGACAGTGCACCATGCACGCATTTAGGTAGCGGACGCAGCGCGCTGCAGTCAATTTAATCTCTTGGATTTCGTTTTTACTAAGCTCAGCACCACAAATGGAGACAAGGATCTAGACCACCTCGTATTATGGATTTTGGAGACTTGTCATTGTGACCACTTCTATGACAACGATACAAGTGCCAACCCTCTTTCTTCTGTCTCGGAATTCATGTGACTTTGGTTTGGACAGGGTTGGGGGTTCCACGACCTTAATTGCCCCTGTATCTGTACCCTAGCAAGACAACTCAACCAAGAAACTTATACCATAACTCTTCCTGCAAGGTCCTTCCACTGCATTAATTACGTATACCTAAGTGTTTCGTGCACATGTACACTATTTTCATACCGGTAAATTTGTTTAATAGTGACTCAATTTTTAATTAAGAAATATAAATTGTTATTGGACTAATCACTTGTTTTCAACTCACTAAATGAATATTGGTTAATTCCAACTCACTGAATTTGTGTTTCACTGACACAGCTTTTTCGTTCATATGATGTGGCTTTGGTTAAAAATTGCATTGGTTAGTCGCTCCTTGACACACAAAATTGTTCGTCCAGCCTGCCTATAATAGTTTGGGCTTGTTGCAAAATGGGGCGTACTTAGTGAGAAACCTTCTTAAGTACTATATCCTTTAGAAATTATGAACAAGACCTGCAAGGATTGAGTTTAATCGTTTTAAAGTTTGTTTTGTCAAATCTTGTCGTTTTAAATAGGAAATGAGTGAGTCACTTTAAGGTATAATTAAGGAGAAAAATCTGTTTACAAATTATACTAAGTATAATCGGTTATAATTGAAGTATGACCGATCATAATACTTAGTGTAGCTTATAAGAGTTCGTAAACAAAAAGTTTGTAAATATAACTTTCTCATAACTAATTGCATTTTGTTGCGGATGCTTAAGCTCTTTTCATATCTGTTCCACAAGCAATAAAATAAAATATCGGAACAGTGACCATTTTGTCACTGTTGGCCAAAAAAATTACCAGACTACCACGCCAATAGTAAATTTTGCCAAAATATCACATGGCATATTTTGCTACACTGTGTAGCGAAATATGTGTGCAAATAATTCGCTACACAGTGTAACAAAATATGCCACGTCAGAACCAAAAATGCCATGTGTCAAAATTGTAGAAATTCGCTACCCTATGTAGCGAATTTCTTCAATTTTGACACATAGCATTTTTGGTTCTGAACAGTCTGACGTGGCATATTTCGCTACACTGTGTAGCGAATTATTTGCACACATATTTCGCTACACAGTGTAGCGAAATATGCCACGTGACATTTTGACAAAATTTACTGTAAGCGTGTGATAATTTTTTTGGCCAACGATGACACTTTGGTCACTGTTGCTAGAATGTCTTGTCCTTCCTTTGATTTGAATTGAGATTCGGTAAACTTACCCTGACATGACAAAATTACTCGATGTTCGTTTACTTTAATTTACCGAACCCAACTCTTCGCATTGGTTATAATTGCGGTACAGTTTCTTTTTCTTTGGATATATTCAAATGTTAATCGATTATCTGATTAATTCCGTTTGAGCACCGCTGGCCCATCCCAAGACCATACAGTTTCAAAACTCTCTTTATATACGAACCTTTATTTATGTTTAATGCTATACGCATCATGACTTATTGAGATTTAAAAACTTTAGAAACAGTTTTACATGTGAGTCATTAGATAGTTTTATACATACGAACTGTACTTCTGGTTTGTCGTGGGGAAATTCAACTACCGAACCATAACATAAGGTTTTTGACATAAGGGGTGCATATATGATATACCAAACTCCTTGACTATTTGACTAAAGCAAGTAGGGAGAAAGTCTGCAACAGTATATCCCCCGAACCCCCGATAAACATGCTCCATCTAGAACATTATCTCGAGTCAAACAAGAATTTCAACGAATGGCACTTTCATATTAGGAATAGCAGTGTATTCAAAAGTAAAAATGCACACCATTATCAAACTTTTCTAAGGCAGGGCACCTAATTGTGTAACAGGTAAGAAATTCTATTGCTTCAACAGTAAGTGTCGTCAGCCGCGGATTTGGTTTTAATTAAATGTTTATCATTTGAATTGAAAATACTTCTATATAAGTGATCATCTGGGGACTGAAAACGGCACTCATCTCGCCTTTACCATAATAAACACCGTAATGCACGAAATAAAAAACAAAGAACAAAACTTTATGATGGGCAAAATTATTTAAAAAAAAAAAAAAATAGTGGTCCCAATTCCATATGTGAGGTTGCCATCATCTCCCAGGTACAAGAACAGAGATCTCAAAAATGGGTCCAAACAAATATCTTTGATAAAGAAATTTGAGTCACTGGGACCTTTCAACGATTCATACATATTAAATTATCAGTAATTCACCTAATTCTCACAAACCAAACGCTGACGAATTTTTTGTGACTAACAACCTTAAAAAATTAAGGAACTTAACAGACAGATGAAATAAGAAAACGAAAGACAAAAAGACACACACATAGAGATTGGAGTCACTGTTCTTAGATGCCAAATTAATAATATAACGGTTTTTGGCTCAACACATTCATAGCGAATCTTAGATAAAATATGCATTACTATTCATGCTTTGCGCTGACCTGAAATCACTTAAGAAAGAAGTGACATAAGTAACGTTATATAGTTTCCAAGAAAATTTGTTGCTTCACTATTACTATTATTATTCCTTTGCCAGAAGCTAAGAGACAGAACCACACTTAACTACAAAACAGACTCAGAAAAATTCAACCCTATAATTCAAAGTTACGTTTTGTCTTTTGTTTGGTCTCTAAAAGGGAAATATAGAAGAAAAAGGAAATTCCCATCTTATCTTCCATTCTCCTTTTTTTCCATCCAGAAGATTTAAGGAAGACCGTACCAGGATCACGTTACAGTGATTTTGTCCATCTTTTCTTCACTGTTCCTTCCTTCTCATTCTAAGTCCATCACTATCTCTTCCTACTACTGTGACCTTCACTTTTTTTACCACCCTTTTTTTGGTTAACCACGACAAAATGATATCACCAACGACATTAATCTCTCTCGTATGGACCAGAGGATTAAAATGTTATCTTCTTCTGTTTCGGTACTTCAGCATTGATGAAAATCTGAAAACTGGACCATGCGATTGTTACCATAATTTGTGATTTTCCTTCTCTTGAGACCCTTCTCTTTTATGAGAGTAGTGGAAGCAACGTTGGTTCCGTTGGTTTTTTCACTTTCCAAGCTCAGAAAATGTTCGTCTAACACATTAACCGGTGTGTCTGAACTTGAATTTACATTGAACACTGATTCGTACTCATCCCTGGCTATGTCTTGTATGGCATTATAGCATTGCATCACATTTTCCTGCAGTAAAATGATCGTACCCTTAATTATCCATTTAATAATTGTAATACAAAAAAGAAAGAAAGGAAAGAACTCTTCTTTTCACCCCCTCAATTTTCTCGATATAATTCAGCAAGCTAAACATCTAAAAAAGAAAAGAAAAGAAAAGAATGAGAGAATATGTACTTTATTTACATATGAACAATCGGATATTGCTGTTAAGAAGCACGGATATTGAAAGGGAAACAACTCATGTGAAGCATAAAGAAGGGCTGATGCAGCAATTATAGATGGCTTGAATTCCAAAACCTTTATCTCTGAAAAAAAACAAACAACAAAACAAAAGACAAAGTGATTATTTAACTATGATTCTAGATTCGCTATCAAATTAACTCATTTTGTTTATAATGTTCAAGTGAACTAAGTCTTAATTATACCTCTTTGTGACTTCAATATAATTTCAGATGCTCGATCTTTCAAAACCTGCCTCAATGCTGGATCTTCGAGCCTGAACAAATTGCTGAAGAAAGGCATGAAAGAGAAAGGGGTGATGGAACGCATTCGCCAATTCAAAGCCCCCAAGACAAGGGCTTCCATTCTTTGTATTGTTTGCATCTCAAAAATGACGCCGCCATCACCATGATTCAGAAGAGCCTAAGTAATATAAGTAACTCCAGCTTTAATCTCGTATAAAACCTTTGATCTCAAGCACATTACTTAATCAAAAGACATAACGCTTTACCTGAACATCAGTGGCAGAGTACTCTGTTTTCAACATCTTGGCAGCTAAAGAAAAGCAAGACATTGCAAGGAGCTTGTTGGCCCATGGCTTTGGTTGCTGTTAGATATACCCAATTGGAGTTAGATCCTTAGGAAGCATAATCTATTTGGTAATACTCAATCTTAATATTGTTTAGGGTATAGTTATTAAAACGAAGTATAAGGCCAAGGTGATTATTTGATTCGAAAAGCAAGAAAGTGCACACACAATCACATGAATGAACAAATCGTTTTTGTTTTTTTTTCGCTTACCAATATCCCTTGGTTAGCTAGGAAGCGATCCAGATAATTGACAGCTAGGTAAGGGAGAACAGGATCGAAGGTGCAAGACAACTGAAAAGAACAAACCAATGCAACCCCACATTCAGAAATGTCATGTTTTGAAACAACAATCAAGATTCTCATTCTCCAAAAAGCGAATTGTGCTTGGTGCTTACCTGTGAGATCAAAGAGATGACATCCCTTCTAACAGATATGTCGAAGTTGCTAGCTTTCAGACACTGAAAGTAATTCGGTGGTGGGATGTGGTCAGATTCAATGACGAAGAGAGAAGAGACAGAGTCACAGGGAAGATTGTGGAAGTTTTCTAGAGGGTTTTCAAGGTCAAACTCCATGGAGTGGTCTTTGTGAAGTTGTTCTTAGTGGTGATGAGCAGCAAGAAAGACAAGCATTGTTAAAGAGAGAAAGAGAGAGAGAGAGAAAAGGTAAAGCTAGTGATGAGAGAGTATTGAGCTTTCTTCAAATGAAAGCTACGCAGTTCTTTTAGCTTTGCTAGTTGCTACTCTCTCTTTATTAGTGTTGGTTTGTCTGTGATTGGCGAATAAAATATCGTAAACAGAAGGTAGTTGGTTTGGTCCCTCACCTGCGCAGTGTGCTCAGGTTTGCATGAGATGAAAGAATGGTGCTAATGCTATGACAGAACATGCTAGGATAAGAGTTTTTGTCTCTCTTTTTTAATCATAATTACATATTTAAGGATTAGAACTATCTCAACTCAGGAATAAAAGTCAAGAAGCCCAGGTATTTTTTCTGAGAAGAGTTTGAGTTTGAAATAAACAGTGGAATTAACTACACAAAAATCTTATAACGTTTAGGTCAATCAAAGTTTTAAACACATACGCTCCATTTTGGTTGGAGCTTATGTATTATTAAGTGCAAGTCGGTGTGATTACTTTATTTCAACCCAACTTAGCTCTCCCTAATGACCCGCATCAAAATTTATCAACTCCAATAATTTTCCCTCATTATTTCAGCATCATGTTCATGTCAGATGACTATTAGCATAAATGAATCGGATTGAAGAGAGAGACAAAGAGAGAGTTAGCTCATTAAACATGATTAATAGCCTCGGTCGATTTCAGGTTTAACCTTGTAATCAAATTGAATTTGAAAACTTGATGAAAGATTCTTACATGTGGTTAATTTCAACTTGTAATCATTTCGTAAGTATTGATACTCTTATACTTTTAATAAAATAATTGAAATAATAACGCTTTATCAATTGTTAATAAAGAAATTATTGAGTAATATCATGGGTTTTAAATTTAATATTGTTAATAAATAAAGAATTAACCAGTAATTTTACGATTGACATTATAAAATAAAAGTGGTATGATAATTTAAAACAAGTTATTAAGTGAATAAATTAAGGAAAAAAAATATTTTTCCTTTTAAATGACATAAAAATTATGTTATTTTAGTTAAAAATATTGTATTATATTTAATATTTAAATTAAAAAAATTATCAATAACCCCACATTCTCTTCCACCATAATTTCTATTATGTAACCATTGGTCTCACCATAAAATACAATAATTTTAACTAAAATAACGCAATTCAATATATTTTAAAAGATAAACATTTTTCCCATAAATTAAAGTTAAGGACGAGCAGAATATTATACTGCCCTTGTCTGTCTTGATTTTGTTTTAATCCATTAACATGTATTAATAACAGCCTTAAAAAAGAAAGGTTCAATTAGTATATATGCCTCTATAATTTCATTAAATTTTTAATTCGGTCTTATAGCTCAAAAAATTGGGTCTGATTATGTTCTGTTTTTTTTTAAATTGTTTTGTAGAATAGTTTTGAAAACATGTGTTTTTTTTAAATTAAAAGTTAAAACACAAAACAAAAACAACTCAGACATGTTCTCTACATTTGATTCTAAAAACAAAAAAATAATTATAATTTTCAAAAAAAAATTTACAAAACAAATCTTATCAAACGATTTTTTTTCTTTCTAAAACCAAAAATCTATTTTTAGAAACAGTATTCAAACAAGGCCTAAATCAGCCAAAGCCAACACTATTTGAGCATCTCAAACATGACAAGGACATCTCACATACCAATCACATGATTATAGGTCCAATTAAGAAGTGGCAAAATAGGCTCGGTCCAGCAGGCTGAGTTTTTCAACTCGGGGCGGGCTAGCCCACCAACCTATTTTTTTTTTTACTTTTATTTTAAACCTAACATAACCTAACCTAACCTAACTTTACTATTTAATTATAAAAAATAATAGAAAGTTTACAGCATTTTCCAACTATTTTTGAACTCTCTGTTGTGAATACAGCAAGTATACCGGTCATTCCAAGTAATAAAATGATAAGTGAGTATCATTCCGATGAGGACTAAAGTCAAGCAATAATTCACTGCTTTTATCTATGTTAGACAATTCAAAAGTGATTTCAACAAATAACCAATATTTAATTAAAAATTCAATTAAAGATGCAGACTAAAGATATTGATTTAAAAGATGAACAGAAAATTATAATAAAAATGCAATTAAGTTTACTTTACCTCCGATCCTCATTAATTGGTTGAATTCAATTCAATAATATCTTGTCTCAATTGTTTCAAATAATTCATCTTCTAAGAATTAATTAGTTAAATCGTAATGTCTTAGTTCTTTAAGTTTTTAACCCAATCGGAATCCTAATGTCTTAATAATTCCTTTTAGATTAAGCCTTAAGCACGATGAATTACAAAAGTTTGTAATTCCTACAAGCCTATGTCTAGATCAAGATTCCAATATGTCTATTGTGAACCTAAACCCTCTTTATCCCTATATAATTAGTTGGTCGGATCATACAAGAATTTAAACAAGCAAATTGAGGTAAACACAAACAATTTGAGCCAGTTTATTAATGAAAAGACTTAAACCAAAATAAGGATTCACGTTGGATCCATATTCTTAACTACAAAAAAAATTAGCGAGACATATACATATCTGGCTTTAACCAAATATCAAAAGAAAAGAAATTAAAAATAGATGAAGTGAATAGAAGAAGAATGATGATTTATCGTCACTACAAAGCTTTGATCTTTCTTTAATCTTGTCTTGAGCTCTGAAAAAAGGGACTCATCTGGTATCTACGTTCCTCTCTTTCAGAATGTGCCAGCATTTCCTTTATGTTTCCAATAGTTGCCTTTTAATAATGATGAAATCACATCTTTTAATTTCCCATAAGATCTTCAATGGAATCTTCATTATAATATCTAATCATATCTTTCATTAAATCCTTAAAATCTTCCCTTTTATATATAAAGGAAAACTTTCCTTAAAAATATTCAAGAGAATATTCAATAAGATCTTCAATCAATTATATGATTCAGAAATCCAAAATAAACCCACTTAAACTCTCCAATTTATCTTTTTTAGTGAGCTGAAAATTACTGCATAATATAAAATTTATTATGAGAATATTACTAAGAATAAAATAACACTTTAATTACAATTATCATATCATTTAATTATTTTTAAATCAACTTCATGCTCATATTCACCTTAATAAATAATAAATTGGAGACACATCATTCTCGTTCTCAATGAACTAAAATTATTATAAAAATTCACTTGCCAACATACTTAATCAAACTAAAAAAAAAGTTTCTTTAACTTTTAAAAAGCTAAAATGTTATTGTTACTTCAGTTAATTTTAATTATTTTTTGTTGGAGCTTAACGTATGAATAAGATGTACTCTAAAAATAAAAGAAAATACGTAGTAAAGCACAAAGTCATTATCCTAATAATTTCTTATTGATAAAAAATTGACCATTAATGTTGAGAAATAATGGTGCTACAGTATCAAATTAATAGTAAAGGGAAAAGTGCACTAGTGTAATAAGATTTTAAAAAAATATATGAAAGAAAGTGCAACAGTACCGCAAACTGAAGAAAACATTAAAATTATAATTAAATAATAAAAAAGAGAAGGAAAAAAAGAAAGAAAACTTAAAAAAAAAAAATAGGTGGGCTGGCTTTCTGAGCCCATTACCAAAAGTGGGGCGGATTGGCTTGTTTGTAGACAAGTTGACAGCGGGGTGGGGCGGAAGGCCCGCTTTGTCACCTCTATATTCAAGTTATCAGTTATATGAAAATTCGTGCAATTTACGCACGATTTTTTTTTTCAAATTTTATCTAACCCTAAATTTTCGTCGATTTCATTATAACATCTCTTCCCCCCACTCCATTGCCATCTTCCTTTCCCCTCGGTTCCTCTGCTTTTCTTAACTATATAAATCCCATTTAGAATTCCCCTTCAGACTATTTCTAATCCCATAATTCAAATTGTGGATTTCTTTTGAATTGTCTTGTCGTATATTTACAAAGATAATGCATTATTCATAATCTGCTTGTTAGAGAGATATAAAATAATTAATTTAGCCTCACCCAATGCCTTAAGGTTTTGGGTTAAAGTGGCATTTATCATGGCATCAAAGCTTCAATGACCACGAGGTCACAAGTTCAATCCCCACCGCCCCCACTTTCAGGTGGAATTAAGAAAAGCACAAGGCAGACCAAAAAAATGGGCTTGTGCAGCACAAGGCAGACCAATAATGGGCTTGTGTTATATCCACACTTCAAGCCCAAAGGGCTCTTACGTAAAGGGGTATGTTAGAGATATATAAAATAATTAATTTAGCCTGATCCAATGCCTTAAGGTTTTGGGTTGAAGTGGCATTTATCACTGCTTCAGTTTAATTTCTTTTGGTAAATTAATTATTACTGTTGAGATATATAAAACCATTAATGTAGCCTCACCTCACAGCTTAAGCTTTTGGAATGAATTGGTTCTTTACATAGTATCAGAGCCTCGTGTCTCGGGTTCGATCCTCGCCGCCCCTTACTTTCTCGTGGAATTTCTTAGCACAGGTAGGTTGGGCCTGTTGCATCATCCACCTTTCAAGCCCAATGGGCTCTCTTGTGAGGGGGGAGTGTTGAGATATATAAAACCATTAATGTAGCATCACCCAACAACTTAAGTTTTTGGATTGAATTGGTTCTTTACATTAATATTAGTTTTATTATTATTAGGTTATTATTCGAGAAGGTTATTTGGGCTTAACCCATTAGGTCATTTAACCTTTTTAAATAGAGGACTCTTGTACAGTTTTATACTCAATAGAATACAATACATTCATACTTTTAAGTTGGTATAAGAGCTTGTGTTCTGGGAAACCCTGCTTCCGCATATCTTGTCATGCATCATACCGGCAACCTTCCTTTCACACCTAACCCTTATTTAGTCACCAATTTTTTTGTCCTCAACCTCGTATCATCAGGAAAATCATTGTCAGCCTCTGTTCATCGCCGGAAACCACCATAAACCACTGTCTGCCACTGTTCACCGCTGTCAGACACCTTTTTCGGCGACTTTTCTAGCCAACCACCACACGATCAGGAGCGTCTCAGGGAGGCGACCTTGTCTGCGCATGCCGCGTGGTGATCGGAGCATCCACGTGCTGCCACGCGCCGGTGGAAGTTTCCGACGGCCGAG